TCCTAGTAGCGATGCCCTTGTTAACTAGTAGCTTCTTGCTCCTACTACAAAATCAATGATTGCAAGCAAAGTCTCATGTCCCGCAAGAGTTCCAGTGCTGATTCCCAGGCCGCTCCCTTCTTGCAGGCAGTGATTGCCGAACTGTATGCCACGACGTCTCCCATTAGTTCTTGAGCCTTGGAAGGCAAGCCGCACAAGAACCGACTATAATACATAATCAGGTTGATGGAGCAGGCTTAGCAACTCGTTGCTGACTTGAAAGCCTAAATTTGAATGTCCTAGCACTGCTGGAGCAGTCCTCCATGTCTTGCAGGATCCACAAAGCATACTGCCAGTTAGAGCATTTCGCACAAGCGCTGATGGCAGCACTGTTGACCACGACGTTTGCTTGAAGCCTGCATGCTGGGCCGCTAGGCAAACAGTCACAATAGCTTAGTTCCTGACCTGCAATGCCTAAAGCCTTAAGCACCACAGCTTCCGTGGTAAAACAATGCCAGCAAACCCTGACCTTCTGCGGTGAATGTCTTCAAGTAGGTCCAAAGCTGCCAGCCATTCAGAACCCTTTTCACAAGCACTGATGCTGGCCTTGGACGCGGGCACCAAATCAATTTATGTATATAAGATGATAGCAACATAGATGTAGACAAACTATTTATTCTAATTCAAGATCGAAAATCAATTTCCGTAGAATAGAATAGATTATCCTCTCCTGCGCTGATTGTTGTTGCATGTTGTATTCTGCCATGGGCTTTGGATGCACACAGCAGCAAATCTGATTGTGAATGGTCTCAGGCTTGCGCTCCCTGCCCCTGTCCAAGTCCACTGGGATAGAATTATAAATGTCTTGCCATGTCTCGGATAAAGCTACCAGTAACTAGTGCCAGCTGACACATGTCAGAGAGATTATGCTATGCTACAGCTGCCATGACAAAACTAGATTATACGTACATATTATATTCTCTGAAAATGTGCGCAAATGTTTGCAAATCAGCTACCGGGTGGCTCCAAAGGTCACCACATCAGGTTGGATAAGCCTTTGGTGCATGGAAAATAGCACATGCAAAGCACCAGCCCAGTCAGAGATCTTCCTCAGCTAACCACTTAAGGCACCTAAGGCCAACATAGGCCAGCACCAATCAAAAGCAAAAGCTTTCGAACTGCATCACATTCGGAGTGCATGAGTGGCTTGTATAATATAATATATATATATAAGTTAAGGTAATATATATAAGGATATATAAGGTGTTTGGCAGTGTTTGGGCTCCCCTTCATAGCGCACACTGGGGCTTCACCCAAGCCATGAAAGAGTCTATACAAACCAATTGACACTAGGTGAGCATCAGTGGGAAAGAAACACACTCAACGGTTTGCATATGCACATAAACGGCCTTGTCATTGACTTGCAATTGCAATCACATTCATAAAGGCGCAACATGAAGAAGCAAACCCAAACCACAGCTCAGGCTTCTCACAAGAACTGATGCTCGCATTGTAGGTCACCAAGTCTGCTTCAATGCTTGTTCGGCTCATTTCAGCTATGAGTTGGGCTATCAAATCTGGACGCAAGGCCCGTTCGCAGGCGGTAATGCTGGTGTTGTAAGAGATGTTGTCCTTGCAAGTTGTAGCAATGAAGAATCAATCGTGATGAACGCAAACTCCTATCTGGTGAGAAACCTCAACCCCCCGCCGCCCGCGCGATCACCTCAAAGATCTAATATACGGCAATTATCCTCTTTGCTGGGCCAACATTTGTCGCAAACCTGTTTCTTTATTGTCTGCAGTATGACATGACACGCGTCCGGCTTCAGGTATTTGTGCTTCATCTCAAACAACAAAGCCAGCGCTTGCTGCCACAAATTGCTGCGACCACATGCATGGATACCTCAGCAAACATCGGCACCCCAAAGAAAGGAACGCACAGGCCGACAGCAAGCCTTTATCTCCTCTGTCACTACCGGCTCACTTTTCCTCATGTACCCTCATCCAAGTGACTGGAATTGTAGGTAATAACGTTTGGTTGTAGGCGGAGAGTTCGCATCTTGGCAAGAAGATGCAAGACTTTGACCCACCTCCCAAGGTTGCCCATATGGGAGATCAGCTGCGTGTGCTGAGCCAGGCCACCAGCGGTCATGACAAGACTCTGCTTGGCTACAGCATCTTTGCATGGGCTTGGGCCAAATGTAGGACTCTGGATGGTGCAATTGGTCCAACCTTGACCAAGCAGAATCGTCTTGCTTGTGGCTGACCTCTGAAGTGTGGCCCTCAAATTCAATCTGTCCACCCTAATTGGCCAAACTGTGGTGCACTTTTTTCTGAGCAGCTTCTCAGCTCTTCAAAGGAGCTTTATCCTCTTTCTTCTTCTCCACCTAATGTTCTGAGCCAATCAAGCCAAGTCGATTTGGTCAAGCAGCTGTGAGCCTATTATCGAGACGTGCGCGCCTTGATGTTCGACCCAGCGATGGTGGTTCCTGGGAACTTGCACGGGTGCCTTGTTTTTCTTTGGGAATGCCCAAGATAAGCTCAATATGTGTTCTATCCCGTTGTATCCACCAATCCCCATGGCCTTCTGCCGTTGCTACTTTAGAGTGATCACCCGAAGCAACCGCAGGACAGGAAGCACAATGGGGCTTGTCACTTTTGTTTAAAAGGAAAAGATATAAGCCACCAAACACCTTCGAAGCATGTTGGGAATTCCCTCGTTCCCTCAGGCTCCTGTCTTCTTACCATGAAGCGCTTTCGCTTTTTCAGCCTAGGCTTGATGGGTTTGGTTTGGTACTGCTCACCGGGGTGCAAATCCTTTGCCTAAGGGCAGGACCTGTGTTAGCTTCACAATCTGGACAACATCTTGATCATGCAAAATATGATCTTTGCCACACACCTGTGCGCGCCACGCCATCAAGCTCACGGTAGCATGCACAAAAACACATCATCATAGCACAAGTACCACAAACCTGTGGTTTCATTGAGCAGTTTCAGCGCAGCAGGAACTGATCTCAGACCGATCTCCGAGTTCTTTTCTCTGGTCTGACATTCCTTCTAGCTGCATCTTTCTGCTGGCAACGCAAGCATCCTTGTCTGTCGGGCGCATCCCTGCCTGTGGAGATTGCTTGACGCTGCTGCCCCAAACAAAGGCATGCTTGAAGTCTTCCAGCAAGGATTCTGAGAATGCTAGGCTGCTAGACCAACTGGAATTGGATGAGTGAGAATCTGCATTGGGTTCCGTGACAAACTGCAGTCTGATTTTTGTGTGCAGTGCGTTCTGACTCCTGTGACGAATGCAAGAATCCTATGATTGGCATGAAGCTACCAAGCAGCTGTGCAGAAGCAGCACGGCATTCTCAACTGTGAATAATTTATTTCCTCGTTGAGGGGTGATGATGATGGGATCCCGAGCAAGACGGCAAACACCCAAGTAGAACGCATCCACATGAAAGTCAATTACACAACTAGGCTGCGGCCCTACATTAAGAATCCCTACGGCCCTATGTGGTCCTTGCAGGGGTCCACAGAAACGCCCGAAGGCTATTTTTCTGAAAAACAACATCCAAGCCACAGAGAAGTCCGGGAATTGGCCCTTCTTCTTTGTGTAGACCCTGCGCTGCACCCAATACTCAATACTCTTCATTTCATTTCGGAAGAAGTGGTCCCAATGAAAAATGGGGAAGAATGCTGGTGGGAGCAGTACAAGAAAACAGCAATCCTGACAATTTCCATCTCATCCCAGAGTCTTCGCAAAAGGTAGTCCTGAGTTCAGCTTCCTATTCATTCGGTATGTTTATTCAGTGGCGATGCCGTGCAACTGTGCAACGTTGAATCCTAAATAATCAAATCATGAATCATGTTTGACACATGATGTTAAACCACTTTTCATTGTTTTGCTTGTCCAAGGGTGTTTTTTTCAAATCAAATTTGCGTGCTTAATTGAGATTAAACTACGATTTTCCACTACTGCTACGGCGACTACGGCGACGACGGCGACGACTACAGTGACTAGTGCTGAAACTAGGGTTGTTTTGGGGGACTCTCTGTCGAAAGTCCACCAGGTCTTCCTTAGAAGGAGTGAATTTCAAAACCCAACATCACAAGTACCAATCTACAAGTCTAATCACAGAAATACATTATATATGTATCATAATGTGGTTTTTCCGCCTCGGATGGTCCGCTATCACCAAGTACCAAGGACTGAGGACACGTAATAAAAGCTAACAGCAGCTAGCAATAGTTAATAAGTAAAATAGATTTATATCACTTTATATCGTTTGATATCACCGAGCTGCGTAGTTCCACTTGTTTTGGACCTCGCGCCGCTAGCTTCCATAGGAAGCACGAGCACACTTGGCCGAACACTATAGTTTCCTCACACACCATCTCTTCCTCCAAGGAACCGAAACCACCACTGATTGTGGTCGTCTGGCCAGTTCATCAATTTCTTCCAGTTTGAGCAAATCAATCCTTGAGATACTGCCAAAACTTTCCTTGAATGCAGTACTGTAAAATCATGATAAAATGTCCCAAAGTTTATTTTTTTTTTTCGATCTTCTTGGTGTCACTCAATAGTTGACTTGCACCGCTTGCTGTTAAACTATTATGCCATCATGGCCAATGGCATGCCGTGGTTTCTTCTGGGTTCTTTCTTGTTGTGTTGCTAAACTTGTCCAAGGCACTTGTTATACACATAGATGCCTCAAGTGCAGCACTATATAAATGAAACTCCAACTCCAACATTCCTCCTTGACCGTCACTCGTTGAAAGCGAGACGCATTTGCAGTATTTTCTGTTGCCGTCGATAACGTCTATGAACTCATCGACTGTGACGTCCTGCACCCGCCGCAAGAGTAGAGGGCGGGGTAGTGTCACCGATAGCCGGTCAGGGTACTCCCCGCGGGGCCGCCTTGCCGCCGCAGCGCAATTTTATTAATCCCGAGTCTTCGAGCATTTATTCAAAACGGCTTTGTTCACATTCAACTATATTGACATATATTGACTATTATCTGCATATGTGCAGTAACTCTTTATAAATTTATAAGATTAATTACAGTATACTACAGTAAATAAAACCTCATCTCATACTCACTCAAGATCATCGTTCGCTTCGGAGTTAAAATTTGATTGAGAGGGGTGAACAAAATGATTGGCAGATTTGAGGAGGTGCACGCAGGAGTCAGTCCCTGCACGAAAAACAAGAGAGAAAATGGATTTCATCCCACGGACGAGGGAGATCTGATTGTGGGGGGGGCCCAGGCGAACGATGCAAACCACTTCAACCACCAGAATCAAGTCAAATCCCGTCCCAATGCTTCGTGCTAAAGCAAAGTAGTTGCTGAGGCAACCTTTCGTGATGAAGTCTAGTCCTCGCCTCGCGGACCAACACGTCCGCGTTATGCATCTTGTACCTGCAATAATATGCGCGTTCACCGACAAAGCGCCAGGAAACTAACCGCGGCGGTCCGTATTGAAAATGTACAAATATCGGAGGACTGAGGCCAAAGCTGCTTGAGGACGGTTGCACAAACCTCCTCATCAAAATGGTTGAGGGGAACGGTGGCCTGAAATTTCAGTCCTCGCACAACTGGGAAAGCCTGTAAGCATGAAGGCATGGCAGCCAGCATCCGTGCAATGACAACCCTCTCAAAACGTATTGAGGAGTTGTTTGGCATCTTTCCACCACCCAGCCCGGTCCTCCTCCTTTAGTGGGACGCACTGTGACATCCGGAGGTTTCTTGTTCAGCCTGATGCCCACATTCTCCAACTCCTGCAATGTACTTCAGAACATTTTCCAACGAGCACTTTTGCTCAGGCTACAATGCCTGACACCGCAGAACAAACGAAGGAGTTGGGATAAATGATATGCATTGATTTGGAATTGCACAGCCGCTCCTTTGTCAGCATCTCTTTCTGAGCATCATCTTTGGTGGGATCCAAGACCTTAGTGAACCGGCCTTTTCGATGAAGCAACGAAGCACCCTTACAGTAAAAGCACACTTCTCCAGTGTCTCCACTGGGAACTGCTTGGCCGAAGCGGCCATGAGAATAATGTCACATGATTTCGCAGTTGCCTGGGTTTCACAAAGGCTCAAATGTGAGAATCGCCCTGTCAAAACTCACAGCACCAGAAGTCAAGTTGTTCCAAGTGACGATAACCTGACGTCCTCGGCCTTTTCCAGTAGAGGCACCTAAGACATATTATAGCTCAAATTAGACTGGAATCATTGTGCTGCTTTCCGGGCAAGGTTTGAAGTTGCAAGCAAAATCTCGCAACTACGGCATGAAAGGTCCAAGGCGTGCAAGCCTTGCAAATGATAGCACACCAAGGCTAGAATCTGCATGTATGGGTTGCAAAGTGCACCGTGCAATTGCTACCTGGGGCTCGTGCCAACAATCAACCCAGGAAGATCTAGGAGTTGAATTCTAATCTTGGCCGCAAGTTCTGCAACGGCATGTCAGCGGCAAGCGTGTCTGAGGGGCCAGCATCATTGTAGTAGATCACACCAGGTATACATGTCAAGGTCGTGAACCTTGGACATCAACAAAGTTGCACGATAATGCACGATACACTCTATATAAAAGGAGCGACTCCTTCATGCTCTGCAATTGCACCACTATCACCAATGCTCGACTGATCTGGAGAGTTTTGGCAAAACTGAGGCACGTGCTCATATGCGGCAGCTTCAGACCTTGAAAACTGCCCTACCTCTCACAAGTCCAAAAGGGGAGCATGTTCACTGCTTCATCAACTCCCCTCAGATTGAAATTTTGACCATCCTGGCTCTGAGATGCTCTGAGTCTGTAAGGGGGCGGTATTTATCAAAAGTAGCATCTCTTGCACGTGTTCGCTCTTTGTGATTCGACACGCAAGCCATTGCGATTTTGACCATTGTTTCCTGCTAGCCCAGCCAGGTGAAAAACAAGGACTGCCAATGCAAAACAGTTTTGGCATGGACGTCCTCATTTCCGTTCTTGCGGCTAAAATCTGCCACAAAATGGGTTGGAGGCCCCTGGCCTCCACAGCTCCCAATGTCCCGCTTGTTGTGTGAAAAGGATCTACTATTGTGTTACGATTGAAAGGGCGCCCACGTGTTGCGGGGTATGGCACAAATGGAGACAAACAATAAGAAGCTACAACCAAGATTT